TTTGCACCAAGATCTTTACAGCCTGTAAAAAAAAAAGTAAGGAAGCAAAAATTGAAACTAAATCAGTTTTTGCCACTTAACCAACATTTTGTTTCATTTTTTTATCAGTGCTTAATCAAAAGCGTTTAATCTTCAAAAGGAGCCAAATTCAAAGTGGATGAAAGGAAAGCAAAGTAGTTTTGCAAAACTTCTGAAACAATGTTTAGCAACTTCTTTATCACTTGACCTTAATCTTTACTACATACTATACGAATAATTTTTGAACATTTCGTTTTTTTTTCAGTTTCACATTATTTCAGAATTTTCCTGTTGACAATTGAAGATTTAACCTTAACCATGTTTTCTTTCTTTCTCTCTCCTCAAAAATATTATAATGCTAATGCTTTAAAATGAAGGAAAAAAAAAATAAAAAGTAAAAACACTTACTATTTGGCTTTTGAGCTTTCGTCGGAAAAACTTTTGTCTTCACCGTAGTAGTTTCCCCTCAAAAATATTATAATGCTAATGCTTAAAAATAAAGAAGAAAAGACAAAAAGTAAAAATATTTACTTTTATACTTTTGAGCTTCTGTCTGAGAAACTAAGAAAAAGCTTTTAAAAGAGAGGAAGAACCAGGCAGATATGAAGACTCACTTCTGCTGTAATCTGTCTGATCAGTGCAGTATCCGCAAGTCGCTTTACAGTTTTCTTTCATATAACTCGCATATCCTGGGTGGGTACAAAGAACACGAGTTCGACGGCAGTTTGCACCAAGATCTTTACAGCCTGTAAAAAAAAAAGTAAAGAAGCAAAAGTTGGAACTAAATCAGTTTTTGCCATTCAACCAACATTTCGTTTCATTTTTTCATCAGTGCTTATTCGAAAGCGTTTAATCTTCAGAAGGAGCCAAATTCAAAGTGGATGAAAGGAAAGCAGAAGTAACTTTGCGAACTGAAACAATATTCAGCAACTTCTTTATCGCTTTATCTAAATCTTTACTACATAGTATACAGATAGTTTTTAAACATTTCGTTTTTTTTTTCAGTTTCACATTATTTCAGAATTTTTTTGTTGACAATTAAAGATTGAACCTTAACCATACTTTCTTTCTTTCTCTCTCCTCAAAAATATTACAATGCTAATGCTTAAAAATAAAGGGGAGGGGGGGAAGAAAAGTAAAAATACTCACTTTTTGACTTTTGTGCTTCTGTTTGAGAAACTAAGAGTGCAGCAAGTAGCAAGAAAACGCAATAATTCATGGTTTCGCTGGCGATTCCCGTGGTGAAATGCTGGATCTGTTTGACCGCCGATGATTTTGTACCCCAGACATTGCGACCTTTAAAAGTAACCCCCCACATAAGTCAGATGAAAGTACTATTGCAAGTCAGCTAAACAAACTTTCTATGTTTTTTTTTTTTGCACTATTTCTTTTGACGCCCTGTTTCTTTATTGTATTCAGTTTTTTTTTTTAATTTGTTCACTTGTTAAACCCTCGAAATACGTTAGCGTCGGTGTTGTTTTAATCGTCGTTACTATATTATTATTAATAATGAAAAAAAACCATTCGTTTGTGTTATAAACCAAAAACAGATCGAGTTGAATTTTTAGGCAAAGTGGATGAACAAAGCGGAATAATGTTGTTTATTTTGCAGGCAAGAAATTTAACTAGCGTAGATTAATTTAATCCGTATTACATTTTTTATCGTCTACTTTAATAGTTACAGTTCTCTTAACCGAAATATTCGCCAAAGATTAGTTGAAGTACAAAACCTATAATCGTGTACACCTAAATACAAGTTTATTTTTCTAACAAAGTACATTTTTTACAAAACGGCAGACAAAGCTTCAGATTGAGCCACTGTGCAAAAAAAACTTTTTTTTTCTTTATGACAAATCAGTATTAATTGGCTCTGAAAGCCTTTTTACATAAAAGTTGTTATAAGCAAGCCAGATTTTTGTTTTACGTAGATTGCTCGTTACTCTTTTTTTTTCAAAAGCTTGTACTAAAAAATGAAGAGGAGAACAGCTTAATAACTGATGTTCTTCAAAAAAAAAAAGCAAACAACCAGTGATCGGTGATAACACACTGGCATAAATCTCGACATATTGTTTTCTTCTGGGATTTAGCGTTCATTTCAGGTAGTGCTCCTAAAAAACTAAATTTTCTACATGTCTTACAAGAGCAGCCAAGGAACGATTTTTAGGCTGCTATAAACCAGTTTCTTCAGTTTCTTGAAGGATATATTTCACCTCCAGATGTAGACTACAGCGCAATCGGTGGCGCAATCGGTC